TTCTTTAATCAGCACAACAGTTTTCAGCTGTGCTAACATAATTGCAAAAGGGTTTTCTAATGATCAATTAGCCTTTTAAAATGATAAACTTGGATTAGCAAACACAACGTGCCATTGGAACACAGGACTGATGGTTGCTGATAATGGGCCTCTGTACGCCTATGTAGATATTCCATAAAACATCGACAGTTTCCAGCTACAATAGCCATTTACAACATTAACAATGTCTACACTGTATTTCTGATCAATTTGATGTTACTTTAATGGACAAAGAAATTGCTTTTCTTTCGAAACCAGGAGATTTCTAAGTGATCCCAAACTTTTGAACGGTAGTGTGTATATATATAGATAGATAGATAGTAAAATAGATAGTGAAATAGATAATAAAATATTAATATCATACAGTGGACACCTAAGCCTTTACACCTATGCATGCAATGCACTGATAAATTTAGTGCTCAACTCTCCTACAGCTGAACTGTGAGGTGGACAATTATTGTTTTAATTGTCAAGGAGGGCATTAATTAGAGAGGCAACAAAGAGACCAAAGATAACCCTGAAGGAGCTGCAAAGCTTTACAGCGGAGATTGGAGTATCTGTCCATAGGACCACTTTAAGCCGTACACTCCACAGAGCTGGGCTTTACGGAAGAGTGGCCAGAAAAAAGCCATTGCTTAAAGAAAAAAATAAGCAAACATGGCAGGGACTGGGAAACTGGTCAGAATTGAAGGAATGATGGATGGCACTAAATACAGGGAAATTCTTGAGGGAAACCTGTTTTCAAGTCTTCCAGAGATTTTAGGACTGGGCATTGAGGTTCACCTTCCAGCAGGACAATGACCCTAAGCATACTGCTAAAGCAACTTTCGAGTGGTTTTTTAAGGGGGTGAAACATTTCAATGTCTTGGAATGGGCCCTAATCAAAGCCCAGACCCAATACAATTGAGGAAATCTGTGGTATGACTTAAAGATTGCTGTACAACCAGTGGAAACCCATCCCAACTTGAAGGAGCTGGAGCAGTTTTGCCTTGAAGAATGGGCAAAAAATCCCACTGGCTAGATGTGCCAAGCTTATAGAGACATACCCCAAGAGACTTGCAGCTGTAATTGCTGCAAAAGGTGGCTCTACAAAGTATTGACTTTGAGGGGGTGAATAGTTATGGACGCTCAAGCTTTCTGTTTTTTTTTGTCTTATTTCTTGTTTGTTTCACAAAAAAAAATATTTTGCATCTTCAAAGTGGTAGGCATGTTGTGTAAATCAAACGATACAAACCCCCCAAAAATCAATTTTAATTCCAAGCCACTGTAAGTCCCAGACTTTATTGTACAATCCCGGTCACGGACAAATATCCCGGACAAATAAAATTGATCAATCAGTCAATCCAAAACGGAGCAGCTGCCAATTGATGAATGGAAAGAGACATCTGTTACAAAACACCAAAAAGTTTAATGACATTCGGAGATTGTAAAACAAAGCCTTTGATACTGGGTAAGCCTAAAAGGTAGGGAGGGATGTATTTTATGTTTGTCGAGATTGACATAGTCTATTTATTGTGGTGTTGAAAATGCAAACCATGATTTTGAAGTGCCCGAAGTCGGTATTCTTTGTTTATTGGTTGTGTGGTGCATTTGTACAGAAACCTGTTGGTGGAGAATTCGTTGCATATATTTTAAATAATTATAAATATAGCATCAAAATGTTGAGAATCTGATTCCCCCTAGCTGATCATTGTCTGCAGCCGGCCCTGATCGTAGTGTATTGAAACAGGCAGGGAGAGTGAGCTTGTCTGTTGTGGTTGGCAAACCCTCAACCTTCTGGCCCGTAGCCCTGCATGGCATCGACTGTGCCGCAAAAGCATGCTGAAGTGGCAAAGTCGATATCCACGTTCATAAACAAAGGGTCACTACAGTTATTGCTATTTTTGGTCATAAACATTATTTTGAGTTAATTCTATGGGGGGAGGGTGTATTTATTCTGTACAAGGGGAGGGTCATGTGAAAAAAAAAGTATGTTTGGGAGGTGGATGCACTTTTTTTATGGCACCTTGAGTTGGACCAGCCCCTCCCCCCCAGTCAATTTCTATGTATTTGAGTATTTTCAAATAATGTGGCCCGAATTAACTACTTCCATTGGAAGTATTTTCAAATAATTTTCTTTAAATAGCCTACTATTTGAGTATTTTTAAATACCTGGGTTAAATACATGGGAGTGTATTTTAGTCAGTGTATTTTAGTATTTTCAAATACTTTCCAAGTGTATTTCCAAATATATTCCAATATTTAACGACTTGTATTTAAACCATTTTGGGGGGGGGAAATACTTACTTCCAAATGTCTTTGAAAGTAATTAGAAATACCCTAAATAGTATTTGAACCCAGGTCTGGTGTGTGCGTGTGTGAGTGTTTATCTCAGTGTCTTCTGCTGTAGAACCCATGGCTGCTGAAGTAAAACATTCCATCTCCTCTGAAGCAGCAGTGACGCATGACCCCCTCTCGCCCAACAATACGGTATTGACCTGGGCACATTGGGCCCAATGTTTGCCAGCTTTAACTCGATAGGGCTGCAGCCTTTGGCATTTTAGTTGACTTGAGTAGATCGGCGTCGCAGCGGGCTCGTTCAAAGCCTCAGAGTAAATTCACTTAGACAGATGCTCTTCACAGGCTCCCCTCTCATTAAGGTAGATGGGTGGCTATGGAGACCACAGGGCAGGGGAGGGAGATGTTGAGACATCACCATGCACCACTCTGAACTACATCCTGTTATGTCATTATAGACTGACATGAGGAGGGGAGGTACATTCTATCAGGAAATTGTCTGAATTGTGTATCTGAGGATTTCATAAGAATGTTAAGAAAGACCAAAAATGTAGAGTTTCATAATGTGTTTTTGTGAGAGAGCAAGAGGGAAAGAGAGAGAACAAAACAGAGTATTAGAAAGAGGAAAGTGGAGTGAAGGAAAAAGAGAACGTGGCAAAGGCATTTCTGTGTGTTTTGTGGATGGCTTGATGGGACATCTCCTGCCTGTGGCTTGGATGACATAAAAATAAGGAAGTTCAAAAGAGGGGTGGGGTGAGCTTCAGAGGTCAGAGGTGAGGGTGGCACTGCAGGGCCAGGTGATTGGACGTGTCTGAAGGGAAGGGGTGTGTCCCCATGCCCATCCCCAGAGGCAGGCAGCTGTTTGTCTGGCCCCAGCGGGATATTAGCAGCTCCAGCTCAGACCCAGCACCACGCTCCACTACATCCCAATAGCAGCCATGTCAGTGGGGGCACCAGGGAGCCGTGAGCCCTCACAGCGCTTTATTTGGTCTGGAAGAGTTTGTTTGTTGAATGGAAAGTGTGAGGAAATGGTATGCTTCCAGAAGAGGCTCCCTGTTGGTTGGGGTTAGGGTTAGAAGTTGAGAGGCTTGATTCTTGCGAGTGCTTGGACAGTGGGGTATTATGACATCTCAGTCACTTTTTATCATGAGACGCTCTTGATGAAATTGAAACTAGATGGAGACATGATTAAGGCCTAAGAGACTGTGTAGTATAGCACACAATTCAAACCGAGATCTCTCTTTATGTGATTGAGATCTCTGTGTATGTGAGTTTATGTGTAGCATATGTTTGTGTTCAGGAGAAGGAGAGGCCCCTATAGCAGTGAGTGTGTCCCTGTGTTACTCCCTTGAAAGTTAGGCTCTTTAAGAGCTGTTTAAAAGGGACGCCCCCTCTTTGTGCCCAGTGTTCTGCCTGGCGTATGGAAGCCCTTTTGTCCAATCCTTTCATCTGGCTTCACAATAGGCCAGGCCGTTTGAAACACAACAGTAGATGAACTGCGCTGACAGTGTATTAAACTCTGATGAATTGCCAGTGCGAGGCATAGATCAGTGTCCTTCAACCTTTAGCACACACTGGGCCCAGGCCTTTTCTTGGTTAAATGGAACAGGTTGCTGGCTGTATGGCTGCTCTTTTCAAAAGGCCTGATTATATTCATGTTTTGTTGAAGTAGAAGCCTTTTTAAAATGTGTAAATCACTGCAGTTAAAAAGGAGCCCCTTTAGTCACTCCCATTCAGGGAGTTGACATTGTGCATTCGTGGTTGAAAGTTGATAATGGTGTTGGACATTTTGTGTGCATTTCGGTACAATTCGACATTTTATTTAGCTATCTTAAGAAGACTAAGATCTAAAGAATGTGCTATTTACATGCTAAACTGTGCAAAGGAATATGTATTTATGTTTTTTGTTAATTACAAATAAATTGCTAAATCCATCCACCTTTTATAATATAATAGAAATAATTAACTTTGTATGTATTTGCAATTGCATGTATCTGATTAAAAGAGGGAGAGAGAGAGAGAGAGAGAGAGAGAGAGAGAGAGAGAGAGAGAGAGAGAGACATAGTGTGTGTGTGTGTGTACGACTGTAGTGGCATTCTTTATGGCCTCCCTCCAAGTGTTCACAAACATACTTGAGATGTCTGATGCTGCAGCTTGTGGCCCCTACCTCTGACCCCTTAATGACTTCTCCCCTCTGAAGAGGGCTTAGGGCAGCCTGTTGACACAGATCACAGCTTCAGCCACTTAAGAAGAACAACAGGGCCAGACCACTGAGCCTCCATGCTGGCTCTGGCTCCGGCTCCCACAGGGACTAGCTAGCTTCTCCACCACCACCACCACTTCTCTAAGCAACAGGCAGATGAATCACAGCTGGCAGGACCACAGAGTAAATACATTTGAAGCATTCCGGAATCATATATCCATTTGGTAATAGATTAATTGTGTTAGAGTGAATGGAAGAGAATGGATATTCTAGTATGCACAACCTAGGGATTGCTGAGAGAGAGTTCTTAGCACTTACAGACGGGTTATCATATAGGAGCAAACCAGAGGGGAAGGTAGACTCTCTCTCTCTCTCTCTCTCTCTCTCTCTCTCTCTCTCTCTCTCTCTCTCTCTCTCTCTCTCTCGCTAGTGTTCAGTAGTTTGTCCTCTCCATCGTCCTCATCTGTGTTTTTCCCTCCAGGTGTGGTTCAGCAACAGAAGGGCCAGATGGCGCAAGCAGGCAGGAGCCAATCAGCTGGCCGCCTTCAACCACCTGTTACCTGGAGGCTTCCCGCCCACGGGGATGCCCAGCTTACCTACCTACCAGCTACCTGAGTCCTCGTACCCCGGCACTACACTGTCACAGGGTAAGACACGTACACACACACGCATGCACACACACACACACACACACACACACACATTCGCACACACTCACATACAAGCCTCCACATCTGCTTATCCCAGAGGCTATGTTTTGGGCTCAGATGTTTGCATATATGGATGTGTTTTAATCTAATCTAGGTAGCACTTGGGCTAAGGTATATCTGCTACACATTTAACAGAATATTATATCATATAGCAGTTATATGCTACATATACAGTTGAAGTCTGAAGTTTACATACACTTAGGTTGGAGTCATTAAAACTCGTTTTTCAACCACTCCACAAATTTCTTGTTAACAAACTATAGTTTTGGCAAGTCGGTTAGGACATCTACTTTGTGCATGACACAAGTAATTTTTCCAACAATTGTTTACAGACAGATTATTTCACTTATAATTCACTGTATCACAATTCCAGAGGGTCAGAAGTTTACATACACTAAGTTGACTTTGCCTTTAAACAGCTTGGAAAATTCCAGAAAATGATGTCATGGCTTTAGAAGCTTCTGATAGGCTAATTGACATAATTTGAGTCAATTGGAGGTGTACCTGTGGATGTATTTCAAGGCCTACCTTCAAACTCAGTGCCTCTTTGCTTGACATCATGGGAAAATCAAAAGAAATCAGCCAAGACCTCAGAAAAAAAATTGTAGACCTCTACAAGTCTGGTTCATCCTTGGGAGCAATTTTCAAATGCCTGAAGGTACCACGTTCATCTGTACAAACAATAGTACTCAAGTATAAACACCATGGGACCACGCAGCCGTCATACCGCTCAGGAAGGAGACGCATTCTGTCTCCTAGAGATTAACGTACTTTGGTGCAAAAAGTGCAAATCAATCCCAGAACAACAGCAAAGGACCTTGTGAAGATGCTGGAGTAAACAGGTAGAAAAGTATCTATATTCACAGTAAAACAAGTCCTATATAGACATAACCTGAAAGGCCGCTCAGCAAGGAAGAAGCCACTGCTCCAAAACCGCCATAAAAAAGCCAGACTACGGTTTGCAACTGCACATGAAGACAAAGATCGTACTTTTTGGAGAAATGTCCTCTGGTCTGATGAAACAAAAATAGAACTGTTTGGCCATAATGACCATTGTTATGTTTGGAGGGAAATGGGGGTGGCTTGCAAGCCGAAGAACACCATCCCAACCGTGAAGCACGAGGGTGGCAGCATCATGCTGTGGGGGTGCTTTGCTGCAGGAGGGACTGGTGCACTTCACAAAATAGATGGCATCATGAAGAAGGAAAACTATGTGGATATATTGAAGCAACATCTCAAGACATCAGTCAGGAAGTTAAAGCTTGGTCGCAAATGGGTCTTCCAAATGGACAATGACCCCAAGCATTCTTCCAAAGTTGTGGCAAAATGGCTTAAGGACAACAAAGTCAAGGTATTGGAGTGGCCATCACAAAGCCCTGACCTCAATCCTATAGAAAATTTGTGGGCAGAACTGAAAAAGCGTGTGCGAGCAACGAGGCCTTCAAACCTGACTCAGTTACACCAGCTCTGTCAGGAGGAATGGGCCAAAATTCACCCAACTTATTGTGGGAAGCTTGTGAAAGGCTACCCGAAACGTTTGACCCAAGTTAAACAATTTAAAGGCAATGCTACCAAATACTAATTGAGTGTATGTAAACTTCTGACCCACTGGGAATGTGATGAAAGAAATAAAAGCTGAAATAAATAATTCTCTCTACTATTATTCTGACATTTCACATTCTTAAAATAAAGTGGTGATCCTAACTGACCTAAGACAGGGAATTCTTACTAAGATTAAATGTCAGGAATTGTGAAAAACTGAGTTTAAATGTATTTGGCTAAGGTGTATGTAAACTTCCGACTTCAATTGCAGGATCCATACAGGCAGTTGTTAAGCATACAGCTAAGTCTTTGTTACATGATGACAGGGAAACAGCCTAAGGCTTTGACGGAGTTTGCTACCAATTACAAGAGCAGGATATTTCTAACCTACATAAAGCACATGAAAAAGAGTCACATGGTGTCTGAGGCACAAGCCACTAAAACATAACAATTTGAAATTGTCTTTTTTGAGCAATTTTCTAATACAACATTTGTATCTCTTGCTTTTAGTGGTTAGTTTTGGGGCATAAGTCTCTAAAGGCTGAGATGTGTAAATTATTTTTCAGGGTTGTGAACAAGTCTAAACTTTATATGTGCAGTGTATTTGGTTGTTGATCTCTTGGCTCACATCCTCACTCGGTGTTGTTGTTATTGGTTCAGATGGCAGCAGTACGTTGCATCGGCCCCAGCCCCTGCCTCCGTCCTCCATGCACCAGGGAGGACTCTCTGACGGCAGCTCCGCCTACGGCCTCTCGTCCAATCGCCACAGCTTCTCCAGCTACTCAGACAGCTTCATGAGCCAATCAGTGGCCAGCAACCACATGAACCCGGTCAGCAACGGCCTCTCCCCACAGGTCAGTTCAAGGCCAAGGGCACGTCTCCCTATTTCCTCAGTCTCACCTCTTTTGATGAATTAATGATCAAATTACATTTTATTTGTGTATCAAATCGCCAGTTGGCAACCCATCCCTTGCGGGATGAATTGACACATGAACAAACATTACAATGATTCACAGTGATAATTACATTGATAATTATTCCGGTGTTATGCGTAGTGCGCATCGCAAAAAGAATTGGTGAAAAAAATCCATACATTTTAGTAGATAAGGTTATCCAAGCAATAATAATAATTGATGTGTACCGTAAGCCATGGCCGTGGGAAGATGTTTTGGGTTAGGGGTGCTGAGGAATATTTATATACATTTCGTCACTTATAATTGTATTTATTTATTTTAATCAGGGGGTGCTGCGGCACCCTCACCACCCCTACTTCCCGAGGCTATGCCGTAAGCTACATAAAGTTAAATTTTTACAAAAAAATTATACTGATATAGACATGGTATTACCATCTGAAAATGTAAATGATTCAATGACCCAATGTTTAAATTATGTATATAATTGCAATTTGCTGAACCAACACTCAGTTAGAAAAAGCAACTAATAAGTAATACTGTATGTCGATCCATGGTCTTTTCTTCTAGCTTCTAAAGCTCTGGTTTTTCATTGGCTCATGTAAATTGCTACAATTTTAAAACAATTGGATTAACATCAACAAATTAAAATTAATCTTGATAGAGGCACATCTGCTCCTAAACAGCAGTTTCCACTTTCCTGGGACACCAAAATCTTACTCAGAACATGAGAAACACATGTGAATAAAATAATTAGCTAAAGCTTAAAAATGTAGGCGCTTAATCTTCTACAAGTAATTGTTCGTAGTTGGTAGTACTATGTTATTCCATTCACTTTGTACTACGTTTCTTCAGCTCCCAGCCTGGACTGTGTACAGTGTCTGGCCATAGGGGAAACTGCTACAGAGCTACAGTAGGCTTGTAGAGGAGGGGCTGTGAATATGTGGGTGGCTGTGTAGGGCTACTCTGCTGCCCCCCCCCCCAGTCATGCTGCTTCCCCTTCCCTCCTCTCCTCTCTGCTCGGCCCTCCACACACAGTGAAAATACTGTGGAGCATTAGGCAGAGTAATTAGATGCGCTGCTGTCCTAATTGGGGTTTGAATCAATAGGAGGCATTAGATTCCCCTCTAACCGAGCAATTCTCTTCTGTCGTATAAAATGCAATTGCTTTGCCCCTGTGTGTGTGTGCATGTGTGTGTGTGTGTGTCTGGTGTTTGGTTTTACTATCCTTGTGGGGACCAGAAGTCCTCACAAAGATAGTAAAACAAGGAAAATGTATGAGGACATTTCGCCAATCCCCACAAGGAAAAAGGCAATTTTAGGCTTAGGGGTTAGGTTTAGGGTTAGGGTTACAAATAGGGTTATGGTTAGAATTAGGGTTAGGGGTTAGGGTTAGGAGTTAGGGTTAGCAGGTAAAGTTACGGTTAATGTTAGGTTAAAGGTTAGGGTTAGGTTTAGGGTTAGGGGTTAGTAAAAATAGGATTTTGAATGGGAATCAATTGTTTTTTCCCCACAAGGATAGTAAAACAAACGTGTGTGTGGTGTGTTTCTGAAAAGCTGGGGATTACATGTCATTCTCTTTGGGCACCTCCATTAATAAGCATTTAAAACACTCGTCTATGGAAGGGGTTGAGCCTTAAGTAGCACAGATTGGAACATTATTTGTATTGATGCAAATCGTGTGTGAGGAGTGAATTATACACATTTACCCATCAATACTGGCCAGTCTTGCCCACCCTCACCAACAAGATGTGGTTAACAAGCAGAAAATAAGATTGAAATGGTGTGTAAAGAGTTGAAAATTAATTTCAATGCTGCATTTGTCCGCAATTACCCCCTTGTTCACACATGTTTTATTAGGATTTTTTTATTCTTCAAATATTTCTCAAAGCAGATTGGAAATATTCTTGGTATTACCCCTCTTTCTTTGGAGAAGAAAGAATTAAGGATTTTGGTGACAAAACAGAGATTTTCTCTCCTGCTGGAGTGTCGGAGGATAACATGGAGGCTCACAGCGTGTTTGATTGTTAATCGTGGCACAGGGGCTTTAAGTGCTAATGCTCTCACTGCAAACCAGCAGAAAACACCAGGAACATGGAATTCTTTTTCCATTAATGGCTCTCCAGTACTTAATACGGGCTGACGATACAGCAGCTCTCTCCCTTTCTTCCTAGGCATTCCACTATGTGTTTGGATAATAAACGTTTCCTGTTTAGCACTGGGGATTAGGACCTTGGATAACCGTAGAAACAGGATTTTCAATATTCAATTAGTCTATAAAGTGGGTCTGAAATCATTTTTATATTGAACCACAACAATTTTTATTTTTTGGGTAGTTAATTTTAAGCAAAATGTTATTGTATTGTATTAGTTCTTATATTTGTGATAAAGTTAATAGTATGTAGCAATGATGTTTAAAACAGGAAAACAGGCTGGGTTGTATAGAATACAGTATAGCCATGTGGCATTTCTATCACTCTCTCGCTGTGGGGAGATGGATGTTCTCTGACAGAGGAATCAGAGTTCACACTCCCTCAACGTCCTGCTGCTGTAGTAAGTGCTCACACACACACACACACACACACACACACACACACACACACACACACACACACACACACACACACACACACACACACACACACACACAAACACACACAAACACATCTACCACCCCACACACATACAAACACTCTATCTATCTGTAGTTAAACAGTTATTTCAGGCATCTGGAATGTTGGAGATTTGTTGTTGACATAGATTTAGTTTGACATAGATTGAGACTGTGATTTTTTTATTAGGTTGTTTATATACTGTATGTTTTCACTATCCTGTCTTCCTCTCCTCTATGTAATGGAAAAACAATACAAATAGACTCTCCATCGTGATGGAAATGAGAATTTTATATTGTGGTTTTTCAGACAGCATCTGTCCGGAAGAGATATGCCTGTGTGTTGGTATGTGTGAGCTATTTTCTCTAGTGTCTGGTATTGATGGGCTACCCGTTACTGGTAAAGATTGACAAAAATTCTGTGATTCCCAGTAAATGGGCTGCGGAGGCCAACTGCCAAGTTTATAATGGAATCCTGCTGCGTTCAGCATTGCCGACAGGTCCTCGCACCCATCCCAATCCCATAACCTTTCCCGACAGCGCACATTTTCCCATTACGGCCGCTGGAAAAGCCATCCGCACCGGCACTGGGGTTGTTGCCGTGTGGGATATGAATTTGGTTGGTTTGCGAGAGAGAGGCGCTAGCTATGTCAGGGGTGGGGAGGTGGGTTAAGCTGTGCTTGACTGGGCTAGAGGTATGAGCACAGTGATGTTGTGTTGGTCCTGTTTCATCTGGTGTCACAGCAGGTGTTGGATAGAGGAAAGGCCAGGAGTATGAGGTGGAGGCAGGGAGCAGAAATATCAGCAGTGACTGAAAACATTATTATTGCTTTTTTGATGGAGAAATATTTTTTTGTGTCAATCAAATGGCACTCTTTTGGTTTGAAGACCTGAGAGGATTTCTTTCACAACAAATATTTCCCAAACTCATTTCTGAAACTATATTTTTGAAGTCTAAATGACCCTAAATACCCACAATAGCTAGGTTTATACTCTACTGATAGTTTTCTCACAAAAAATGTTGTGTTATTTAGCAAGTGTGTCTACTCTGGTATTGGCACGTGCACTTTAGCCAACAGCGCTATCTGTGCACTGTTGGCTAGAGCACACATATAGCCTACATGATGAGATTATTATTATGGACAAGATTATTTTTATTTGTCATGTACGTTACTTGCATAAAACGGTTGGATGGAAACGTGGTTAGTGACATATAAACAACTAGTTGTTACAAGATATATAAACATCTGTGCTTTTGTCTCCGTAACCAAGTTTTCCATACTGTGGCGAAAGCTTCCGTTGTTATTCCTGTTCCAGTGCCTTAATTACCAGAAAGTAATTGGGCAAATAGTTAAGGCATGTGATTGAAGAACTCATTAACAACAACTTAGCTCTACACATGTCCTTCTCTCTGCTCTCCATTCCTTAAAAACACAATTACTTAGAGCACAATAAATACAATTGTACATTTCTCCTAATAAAATGTAGCCTTGAATTTGATATAATTGTTCCAAGTTCCAACAGTCTATCTGTTACCCATTTTAAGCACAGGTAGTTGCATTGTATTTACAGAGCCTACTGTACCTGGTTATGGCATGGTGAAACAGCAGCACTGTAAAAGGAAACATAACCAAAGCTGAGGTGGTCTACATCTTCCCAAGAAACAATATCAGGTCATATACAACTCCATGGCCACCATCTCCAAATAAGCCTTTGAAGCCCTAGCTATTCTTGGGAGATGTGTTCTTTGGCAGCCATTTGGGCTAAATTCCTCTTTATTGCATGACAGGGACACCTACTGGGAGAGGGGAGAAAACAACTGCTGCTGATGAGGCTCTAGCAGTACCAAGAGCTAGAGTTAGAGTTTGCATTCGAACCTTACAAGGGAAGAAGCCATCTGTAATGAAATACAAACATTGCAACGTTTTTAGACAAATCCCAGGGATATTGAAGTTGAGGATAACAGACAGAGGGACACGATGCATTGTCTCAGAGTGAAATAACATAAATCCATGTAGGAAAATACTGCTACAAGTCAGTCTATCATCCACACTCAGGTGTAGCGGGCTGTTGATCATAGCATATCTTAAAACCACATTTCTGGTCCTGCCACAGTTATTACTGTGAAATAAATGACGAATAGACATATTGGACCTTTTGGATTAAACCTAGAATGGATCAAACAGGTCCACACAAGAGGACTGATTAGGTCAAAAAAATATGTATTTATTTATCTCAAATGGCAAAAAGGATAACTATAAGACATTCCACAAAATTCAAGGGTTCTGTGTGTTAGGAAGGATTCTGAGCAATAGCTTGAAAAAAATCACCT